CTCCTCCCCGTCTTCTTCTTCGCTGTCAGATGGAACGGTATAGACCCGATTCACTTATAGGAGGAGATTCTGTGAAGAATTCCTCAAAGTCCTGCGGGTTGAAAGTCGAAGCGGGAAGAGCTGCCAAACGACTCCGCTTTTCAGAAAGATTGGTCGACAGTTCAGCCCTCTCTTGCACCTCGGAGAAATCTGCATCATGGATTTGGTCCAACAGAATCAAATTGCTCTCGTGCTCCTTGACGTCTGATTCCAGATCTGACCTAGCCTTCTCGGTTTGAATGAAGCGGATGGCCCCCTGGATCAACTCCATCCCGCGTCCCTTAACATCTTTTCTGGCTTTCGATGCTGACCTTGCCAACTCGGAATCACGCAACTTGGCTAACGCCTTGTACTTCGCGTTAAGCTCGATAAGTTGGTTGTTTAGGGTATCGGCGGTTGATTCGGATTCATGGAGTCTACCCTGAACACCAGAAAGTTCATCCTGGAGTTTGTAATTCCGGTCATACTGGTCTTGCAGCTCCCCCTTTATCTGCGCAAGCTCGGATGTTAAACTGTCGACCTTGCCCTCCAGATCGTGCTTGGAGCCGGCAGAAGAACTGAGTTCAGCCTCAAGAGCTGAGAATTTCTTCTTCCACATGTCAATCTCCTTCTCCCGTCCAATGACCAACCCTTCGTAATGTTCAATCATGTCGTTAAGTTCGCTGTGAGCCTGGCATTATATAAACCCGGGATGGCGAGTCAGTTTGAAGAATAGCAATACATAAAAAAAAAAAACAAAAAAACGGAACTAACCCGAGATGAATGATGAGCGTGAAGCAAATAGCGTTCACGAATCGTAGGGCACCACTTGTTGAAGTCTGGCAAGATCGAACCCGATCGGGTCTTGAAGCATCGGAAGACGCTGCCTTCTTTCTCCATAGCTGCGAAGAAGGAAGAGTTGTAAAAATTGGAATCTTAATAGAGACAAAAACGTTTAAGTATGTGTAAGTCACCAAACCTGAAAGCGATTTGACTTGAGGGACAAGAGTAGGCTGTAACCTCGAGGAAGCATCTCGAGATTCAGAATCTCCCTTTTTAGGGGATGCACTCCGAACAGTCTTTTCGCTCTCGGGCTGGGCAGAAGAAGACATGTCAACAGGTCGGGGAGGACCCATTGGTTCAGTGGGAGGGGATGATCGAGGTGAACGGTCAGTCCGGGCCCTTGATTTCTCCCTTCGTGGAGACGAGTCACTACGGGACGACTTGTCCCTCTTCCTACGAACCAAATTCTTAAGTGGTTCACTGCTGAAATCGTCTCAGGGAGGACGAGGAGAATCACGACGAGGAGACCGCTCTCTCCGAGGAGAACGTTCGTCATGACGTTCACGACGAGGTGTTAGCCTATAAGCAGCAACGGATCTGGCACCCTCGGAGCTGTTATCATCAACCAGCAGGGTCCTGCTGTAATCTTTTTTGTCAATGGCGGCCGCAAGGAACGCTTTGTTTTCATCACAAGCCTCTGCTATCGGCTTGGAGAGTTTCTTACGCTGGGCAGTAAGGGCCCGAGCTGACATTCCCTGAGTTGAGGGAGGAGGCGGAAGACGATGAAGTAGATTGGGAGGACTCATCCTGAGTTTTCGGTTGGCCTCGACAAACCGATCAAGGGTGAAAGAATTCCAAAGGGTTTCCCCTTCGAGGATTGTTTTGAAGAATTTGACAAATTCTTCAGTCGGGAGAGTTGAAGCGATGAGAGCTGTGAAGTGAAACAACGAATTTGGTCAGTAAAAAAAATAAAATGAACAGGAAAGGAATATACGACCTAGTCTCTACCAGGCTTCGTAGACCACTTCGATGGGAGTACATCGGAAAGATTCCCAATCGAAGCAGGAGTTTTCTTAATCAGGAACCAAGGATGGTGCCAGTTCTCATCCTTGTTCGGGAGGTGCGAGATGACGTTTCTATTTGCATTTGGGTATGCCGAGAAGTATCCCGTTTTCTTTGACGAACTTCTCACGCTTCGAAGTTCATTCAGCTCGGGGACTCCAATGATGTAGCCAGCCTCTGCCGCAACGGATATAATCCCGAGGATGGTTCGGAGGAGATTGGGGGTTAGTTGAGGTAAAGCAATCTCAAGAGCCGCCAAGAATCGAATTAGGGCTTCGGGAATGGGGAAGGTCAATCCGCAGCCCTTGAAGTAAATTTCGTAAACGCAAAAATACCCGTCACGGTGGTTCTCCGGGGATTCCGTAGGATCGGCTATTTGTGCCTCCGCTATGATTCCAGGTGGAATTTGACAAAGCCCCTTTAATCGCTCAAGGGATTGAAGAGTACAGGTGGATTTGTAATGAGGACCGGCGATATCGTTAGGACGAGTGCATTCGTCATTACTAGAACGCCTCGCATCGTAAGACGGAGATTCAGGTCTCTCAGAATCGGAAGTCATCGGAGGGAAATGAAAAATTCAAGGTTCGGCGAAGAAAGTTTCGGCGAAGAAAAGTAGAGAGAAGTTTTGATTAAAGCACAAAAGTAAAAGAAGAAAATGATGGTGAAAAGAAGTTACCTTACACAAACTAAATGATGAAACCGCCTCGGAAGTTGTGTGGGAAGTGGGAAGGTTTTTCCCGTTTTAATAGTAAATAATTAATATACGGTCATAATGATGACAGATGTCACTCGGATAAAAATGGCTAGTGCCGAAATTAAAGGAGTGATGAGATTTTCGGCGGGAAATCAGAAAGATTCTCGAGCGCAATCTTTGGTCATTCAAGCATTTAAAGTCCTCCGAATTGGAATGGCACTTCGAAGAACTTGGGGGGCTAATTGTTGGTGTCGGATCCCGCACCAAAAGTTCGAGACCAACCAAAGATTGCCACGTAGTCAGGGTAGCGGCCCATAAAGGATAAAGCCCATCAGACCCACGAGTCAAAAGAACAATCGAAGTGGTAACCACCATAAGGAGAATTCGAAGTGACTGCATCTCGACACGAGTCCGGAGACGAGGTTATGGTTAAGTCGGTCCAAGGACATTTGGGCCGAAAGGCGAGGCCCATAAAGACCAGAGTCAACTCAAATTCAAACGTCGAGCGTTAAAGTCAAGGAATCAAAACGGACACATTTAAGAGAGAATAATTGTACTTAATTAGCCATTTAAATGTCATTTTTCTATGTATAAGTATAGGGGCCAATGGCCATGAAAAGGGGATCTTTTTTTTTGAGCAAGAAATACGATAGCAATTTTTGTATTCATAAGCCTTTTACGTTCTTATTTTTTGTCCCTCAAGAATAATCTTTCCTACTAATAAAAATACTTGAGTGTGTGAATCCGACATCCACAAGTATCACATGATTGGAGGTAAACCGGTTCCTACACCAATGGCTTCTTCCACAACTCTCATCGTGTCTGATGGTGTTAAATTACCTGATCCGACGGAGTATCGTGCTGCGGTAGGAAGTCTTCAATATCTTGCTCTCACACGTCCTGACATTGGCTTTGCGGTCAACCATTTATCTCAGTTTATGCATTCTCCGACTACTGTTCACTGGGATGCTGTTAAGAGAGTGCTGCGCTATCTTGCCGGGACTGTTGAACATGGTTTGTGGTTTTCGGCGAATGCTTCCTTAGAACTATCTGCCTATTCTGATGCGGATTGGGGAGGAGACAAAGATGACTATTCCTCTACGGGGGCATATATCGTTTATCTTGGTTCACATCCAATTTCTTGGTCGTCTAAGAAGCAAAAAGGAGTCTCTCGTTCGTCTACTGAGGCAGAGTATAGAGCGGTTACAGAGGCAGCTTCTGAAGTGAAATGGGTTCTATCTCTTTTATCTGATCTTCGTATCCGGACTCCAACAGCTCCCAAGGTTTATTGTGACAATATTGGAGCTACATACTTATGTGCTAATCCTGTGTTTCACTCTCGTATGAAACACCTTGCTTTGGATTATCATTTTGTACGAGAACTTATTCAAGCCGGCGTTCTTCGTGTTCTCCATGTCAATTCTATTGATCAACTCGCCGACGGTCTTACTAAACCGCTACCACGGGCTCGCTTCCAAGATCTTCGGTTCAAGATTGGAGTAACCAATGGTTCTCCATCTTGAGGGGGCATGTTAGAGTAATAGATAAATGTAAATCTTCCAAATCTTGTTATGTAAATCTCTAGTGTATATCCTCTAGAATCTTCTCTTGTAAGCCTATATATAGAGGCCTCTCTATTCAATAATACACACAATTTTACCAATCTTACAGTGAAACGCTGCAAGCCGGTGCCGTTGGAATTTCCGGAGGCATAAATAATCCCTTCCTCTAAAAAAAAACTAAAGAGTCGAGTCGACATTGCAGTTAATTTAAAGTCACCAAGACTCGAGAGATAAGACGCAACGGTGTTTATCTTGTTATTCTCTGTCACATATAGTCGCGTAAACTATGCACAGAACATGACTAAAATTCACGAGAGGCATGGGTCTTGGCGTCTTGCCCTATTTAGGACGGTGCAAGTTTTAGATAAAAGAGAGAGAGAGAGGGACGTTGCTTTAAGGCAAAAATTAAAAAAAAAAAAAAAAGCAAATCAAATGGTCTTTTCTTTTTGTTAGGATTAAAGAACCACAAAAAGTGAAAAAATATAGTAATAATTAAGGAGACAGGAGATATGAAACTGGTCTCCAAGTGTGGTTTGCATCTAGACAATAAATCTTAAATCTTCAAACTTTTTAAACTTTCAACTCAAAGTCTTCTAATTAAACGTTGGACTCGATGTAATAACGTTATTTTCTTTCGAATATAATTTAACATTAGATTCAAAATAAATTAAAAAAATAAATAAAGAATGCAATTGGTAAGAATGAAACAAACGAATATAATAGGATTTTATAGTTGCGTATAATTAAAACCGGTAAAACCACAGAAACAGTAGGCCATTTATTTTAATTTTCAACTTTTTTAATTAGAATAATTTATTCAGAAAAGTCAATACACGTTATACAATAGTTTTTCTTTTAAGTTATACATATATAATTCACATGGCATGCATATGTTTGACTTTATATTAATACCAAAGAAGATGGAGTAAGAATTTGAACTTTGAAGGTAGAGAAAGAAAAGAGAGAGAGAGAGAGAAAGAGAGAAAGAGACGATGGTGATAAAGAGAATAGAGCTATGCATAGAGATTACGAAGATAGCAATGGAGTTCTTGGTAGTGGTGGCTGACGCCGTGACAATCTTTTTAAGGCAATCTTCTCCACCTCCTCCGGCTCTCCTCCGCCATGGCCTCTACTCTTACTCTGCCTCCCTTAATCGTCCTTCTTCCCATTACGTCATCGGCTTTCTTCCCTAAGTTTGTAATCGTTTCGTTTTTAATGCTTTGTAATATATTCATGTATATTCTTGCTTTTTTTATAATGAATGTCCATGTATATTGATTTCTTAATTTTGTAATACATCACCTTTCACCTCACTTTCTCTATATGTATGTATATTTTTAACAACAAGAACTAGTTTTTAGCCATTCTCATACGTTATCACACTAGAGTTTGTAATTGTTTGTCTCGTTCTCCGATTTCGTTTTTTGGGTTCCATTGTTAGAATTTGATGTGGAAAAGAAAAATGAAAACTAATGATTACAATATTAAAATATTGTTCCAACTTCCAAAATTGACATTTTTATAACAATAATAAATATTTCCAAACTGGAACATATCTAAAAAAAAAATGGGGATAACTAATGGAAGAGAGGTTGACGAATAAGACGTGCGTTAAAACTGGTCCCGGTTTCGGACAACAAGACATGTCCAGGTTCAACCGATTTATCATTCTTTATTATGTAATTATATAAGACTATCAACTAATTGACGCATAAACTTGTCAAATGTTTGTTTATTACGCGATAAGTGTTTACAAGTTATCAGAAGCCACACAAAAATTTATGTATATTTTTCTTCCTAGCTAACCCGAATAAATGTAATGTCTAAACTAAAACTACACATAAAAGCAAACTAAATCCAACACGTCATTAACCTAAACAGTTTTTTTTTTTTGTCAAGTTGTATTGTTTTAGGTTTTAATGTTTAATTGGTGTAGTTCGAGGCAGTGCCGGCCCGGTAAATTTGGGTGCCCTAAGCAAAATTAAAGCCCATAAAAAAAAATTCTTCTAAATTAGATTTTTACCAGTAAAAAGAATATTGTACTTGTCTTTAAAAGCCCACAATATTTTTAAAAGGCCCTACAAAAATTATTGTATATAAGAAAACTTAACAAATTTTTAGGTAAAAAGGCCTTCAAATTTTGAGGCCCTAATCGGTGGCTTCGGTGGCTTGCCCTCTGCGCCGGGCCTGGTTCGAGGAAAAAACGCAAAAAAGTTATGTAATGTCGTGTCCGATGCGATTACTATTAGATTGTGTAGTTATAGGCATTTTATCTCATTTATCACAATATGAAAAGCCTTATAAAATGCTTAGTTTTGAATTTTACTAAAAAAAAATGTAACATACTAGGATTTAACCAGTGGTACACTGCGAAACAATTATTATTTTATACAATCTTAAGTAAACTATGTTGATTTCATATGTCTAATATTGATGATGTTAAAAGTAATAAAATGAGGATTAAACCGATATTGAAGTAGGAGGTTAGTAATATAATTTTTATTAATGTTGATTCAAACTTGTTCCGCAATATAATTTGTCCCGTGTTATTTTAATTTTATATGTTCAAAATATTTATAATATTATAAAATTTTATTGACTTTAAATATATTTTAAGATTTTGAAAATTTACTATATCTAGTAAAATTAAATAGTTTAATTAAAAAATAAAATTAAACCGTATGCAGAAAGATGGTTAACCACAATCAAGATGCCAATCCATCCCTTTTAATCAATAAAAAGTGTATAAAATTAGTAAAAATGATGAACAATCTGCAACTCACGCATTTGTTAGATTACCGATACATTTTATGTTGGAACTTTGGAAAATAAACAAAGAGAACATGTAATCGTAGCGATACATTTTATGGTGGATCTGTTTCAAGACTTTTTGTGTTCTTTGTTCTCGTAGCGGAAGTACTTGCTATCAAGGCGACTTTAGCATTGGGTGTATCAAGGATGGCTTGTATTTCGGATTGTCAGGAGCTTGTTCTTTTGTCCAATACCGGTGGCCACGCAATCGAACTAGATAGCATATTAGCGGATTTTCTTTTTCGTTCTATGTTTTTGTCTATGTTTGCTTATGTTGTTCCAAGATCTGCAAACTATGGAGCTGATGCTTTAGCAAAAGCTAACATGTTATCATGTATTCCTTCCTCCATTAGTGGAGTTTGAGTTTTTATTAATGTTATGTTGGTTTACAAAAAAACAACATAACATAGTTTTGTGTATTAAAAACAAAAAAAAAACAAAGAGAAACATTCTCAGATTTTGTATTGCGTAGTAACGAGTATTTTGTGTATGTGTTGCTAAGATAGTTTGAGAATTTTATGTTAAATTCAGATGCTTACCGATCAGATGCAAACATTTGTTAATTATAGCCATATTATTTATGTCGTAAAGTCTTGAGCTACTTTTTAATGTATATATATATACATATACTTTTAATGCTATTTATTTGTAAGGACCGATTTTTCAGGCATTATTCTGAGGACCACTTTTTAAGCCATGATTGTTTTTCTTATTGTTATTTATTCACGGTTCGTTTATTTTAATTTTTGGATAAGATATTTCGGGGACTGGTGTAATGATTAGAAAGAAATAATGATGGAATGGTAATGACAGACGGTGAAACCAATCATGTAAAAATGGTTCAGGCGGTGAAACCAATCATGTAAAAATGGTTCAGAAATATTTGAAATCGAACAATTATAATCCTATTATAATAAATCACACGTCATTTCTCTAAAAATTACGGCTCTCTCCATCTGATACGTGTCTTAGATCTCAAATTCACTCACTTTATTTTTCTAAACATTTTATAACGAAAAAATAAGAAAAAAAACAAAAATCACTTAAATTTATCAACTACTCTATCCACTTCCCACGATCCCAATTTTATAAGAAAACCTCAACATATTTTTTTATATTCTATTTTCGTATAACTACTCTCTGACCGTGCGAAGCACGGGACACTACACTAGTGTAAGATAATAACTTTGTAATCTAATTTATATTCTTGTTAGAGTACTAGCTAGTTGCAATCACTTTCGATCTAAAAGAAAATTATGCATCCATCTCCATTTAGATTTTGCTTTTTAAGAATCCGACTTTAACCCTTAAAAGAAGCAGATTTTTGTCTTCAAAGTTTTAAGACCACTTACAAAAAAACGTTTGATAATAGATGGATTAGAAATAGGACTAGACACAAATATCCGTTACTTGTCTTATCCCTGTTATTCGCCTCGTTAAAATAAGTAAGTATTCAAAATGATCAAGTTAAGTAATAATTTTAAAATATATATATTTGGCTTGTTTGGCTACTTACCTGTTTATTTAGGCTAATTTTCGTAAACAATTATTTCTTTGATTTTCCATCGAATAATTCAAAACCACACAAAAAAAGGATGAAAAAATAAAGTTTCGATAAATTTTTTGTGTAGAGAAGCAATGTGAGACCCAAAAACATATTTTTCTCTTTTCTTATTTGTCCCACATCACATTGAATAGAAACATGAGAAACTTTTTTTTTTCGCCAATAAATAACATCACGAATGGGAAGAGCAATTGACATGGGCTTTCAAAATTAAGAAGGCCCAGCGCAATATTTTTGGTGCCATTAACCCGTTTTGACGGGTAACAAGAAAATGCATTATTTTTTGAGATTCTTATGGATTTGGGACTGATAGTCTGTAATTACGTTTTAGGCATTATTTTTGTCATAGAAGTACCATTTTACCTAGTCCTGAATAATGAGATTCTTATCATTTTGTATATTTTTTCTTTAAGAATTATAAGATAAGGTATTCGTGGACAGTGTTTTTTTAAAAAACTCTTTTTAGCAAAAGAATGTAAGTTTACATGTTGCTATTAGAATTAAGAATGGTGTTTTCTTTCCTTCTCCATGCGGATCCTGTTCTCGAATCAAGACCTCCTTATTTATATAAGGGGGTAGTCGGTCTTGGATATGTCTTCTTTCTTTATTTTTCGGACTTGAATCAGAAGAGAGTGTCATCACACGCGCCTCGAGAATATGCGAAGGAAGTTGAAACGAGAACGGCGAAATGATTGCAACCCTAACCGCGTCATCACTACGCACTAGGGTTGGGGGCTACTGTTGATGGTGGGTTTTGGGCTCGGGCCCAAACCCCTTAACGGGCCTAAACCCTTCAACGGGCCCACGCTTCCATGTGGCCTAGCAGAGGCCAAAGGAAGGCCCAGATTCATTCTTCCACCGACCAAAGGGCAAAAAGGACATTTCGCACGAACAGTGTACCCTACTTCTGCACCCTATAAATAGCAAAAAAGAATGATTGTACAGGGATCCCGAAATAACCGCTTTACAGAGAATATCGTACAACCGTCAGAGCACTTTGCGGCTCGGCTCGGACTCTAAGTTTTCAGCTCGTCTATTTTTGTAATTGTCGGCTCGTTCTTTAAATAAGAGATTCTTCTTTCGCCCTTAAAACTCCGAATACGTACTTGTGTGATTTTGAGGATCAACAGTTGGCGCGCCAGGTAGGGGAGAAGCTCGAAGATTTCTCTCAAAACTACGAACCGACGAAACAGCAAAGATGACAGACGCATTCCACAACGCACTCGGCGCAAGTGCCTCCAGCTCGGGAGGAGAAGCATGCACGCCCGCAGCCGCACCGCCTTCGCTACCCCCGACGCCGGAAGGACCTACCGCGGCAGCTACCGGACCGCACCCGGCGCCACGTCCTGATGCTCAGATAACTCCCTCGAACGGACGTAACACGACGAACCCGCAGATTAACGCCAGAGCCGGGACGAACCAAAGAAGTCAGGACCGCAGCGAACCAGACGACCTGCTTCAAAACATCCTCACGCACCTGAGCCGGCAAGAGGCCAGGACGAACGTGCGACTCGAATCTCTGGTTCTCAAGACTTAAGCCAAACTCAATCAGCAGTTATTGTGAACTGTCCGTAACGTTTCTCAAGCATTACTCGCCGCTCATACAGAACCAGACGACCAATGCCGACCTATGGTCCCTTGCGCAAGGACCCACGGAGTCCCTCCGATTATTCATTGACCGTTTCAAGGACGTCATTACCCGGATCGTCGTCCCAGACGAAGCCGCAATCGTAGCTCTACGCAACGCAGTGTGGTACGACTCTAAGTTTAGGGACGATATCACGCTCCATGTCCCAAACACGCTCGAGGACGCACTTCATAGAGCAACGAGGTACATCGAATTAGAGGAGGAGCGGCTCATTCTATCACGAAAGCACGGAGTGACAAAGGCATCGGCGCCGAAAGAAGCTCCTGTGGCAAAACTTGCGGAGCCAAGACAGCATCTCGACCGCAATACGAGCCAAGGTAGAAAGCCGGCCACGTTCGTCA